AGTCTGAGGCCTCTCCGTTGAGAGATATGTACCAGTTGTGATCAAAATAATAGCAGTGTGTTTAAAAAAGTGAGTAAAGCTAAACCAAGATGCCGCTCACTTACTGGTGTGTTTGGGGTCTAAACCTTGTTGAAACATCCATTTCAAGGGCATCTCCTCTGCGGCATAAGGCAACATGACCTCTTCAAATATTTTGATCTATTCAAACTGATCCATGATCCTTGGTATGCGATAAATAGGCCGACACCATAGTATGAGAAACATCCCCATATCATGATGCCTGCGCCACCGTGATTCGCTGTCTTCACAGTGTACTGTGGCTGGAATTCAGTGTTTGGGGATCATCTGACAATCTGTCCGTGGCCCAAAGTACGCTGTGCTTCTGAACAATGTCTGGAACGACCCATTTTACTCACATTTTCAGAAAGAAATGCTCCATAACTAGCATGTACAACATTGGCTTCCTGTTTGACGCCTGTTCTTTCACAGGATGACCTCGCTAGTTGAACTCTACACTGCTATTGTTTTGAACATGCCGCTTTTAATTAATGATTCATTTACACAGAATCAGCAGCATGCATGTCATGACTCTTGGGTCTGTTTGTTTTCTAAACAGTGATTGATCTGGTTAGTGATGTTGGACCTCTCTTATTTTGAACTGTACACGTCATGCCTTGAAAATAAAATTCACACATCAGAGCTTTACTTATAAATCAGAATGTTTTAATACGTATAAAAAAGACGAGAAAGACAACACACACTCACACACACACACACACACACTATCAGGACACAGGCGTTCTATACATGACGGAACCTACAGAGACAGAGGACATGTGATATCTACTGTGATGACTCGGTTGCTTCACGCTCTCTTTGTCGATTCCTGCGTGTGAGCCGAGGAGTTTCCCCGTGATTGTGACAGGAAACAGTCTGTTCACCCAACAGGCTGCTCGCTCACAGTCTGTACATGACATCAGGATTTGTGTCTTTGTCTGAGCCTATTAGTTTTCCTCCACAAGTGTTCACAGCCATGATCAGTCCATCCCTCCGATGTCGTGCTGTTTGTACGACTGTGAGACCAGACTCCCTGCAAAAACACACAAATACTGTCAGAGTGACGCATCAAGAAAAATAAAACATGGTTTACACAGTGTTCTCCTTCAATTAAACTACTGTAGGTTCTCAAATAAATATCTGAAATCAACTGTTTGAAATAATAGTCAACACAAACAAACTGCGCTCTGATGTTGGACATGAGAACAACAGTAAAATGTACATTTCCACAGCACTGATCACATGATGACCTCAACAGTCACGTCATTCTCTGTGGAACTCAGCTTTTCTTTTTATTACTGATTACTATCAAACATCTGTATCCAGTTAGTGGATTTCCCAAAATGTTGAATTATCCTTTTAAGAAAAGTTTCAGGACGATGTCAGCTTTGTTTTTTCACCTTCACTCAGATTTCACACGTGGCTTAACTTCATAAATAAAATATAACAAACTAATTAACATACTCAGACGTCACCTTCAGCACAGTTACTCATCTGATGCAGAAATAAAACCAGTGAGCAGAGGACATTTTTTAAGTCCTCATGTTGTTCCCTCTGTGCTTTTTATATGATAAACGACACACTGAGTAAAATTATCAGTCATCCCCACGATTTTTTCCACCTTAAGTCTACAGCAAACAACTGCCTGTCTGAAAAGACTATTTATAGATTATTCATATTCAAAGATCCAGCCACAGAATGAGGAAGGAAGGTGCAGAGTTACATTTGAAGCCCATGAGGGGAATTCTGTCAAAGACAAAACCTTTGATTATGTAAATTTAAGGGGGAAAGGAGATGCAATAAGCAACTGGAGTGGAACTTTAATAATCTACAGAAAGGCCAATCAGTGTCTTAAATTTGGGGGAAATCTGAAAGCTCCACGTACGATGAGTTCAGACATTACTGCGGACAGAAAAAACATTCACCTCACATCTGTCTGACACACACAGAAACAGACACTGACAGAATCTTAGCTGCTGCAGACAACATTTATGTCACATGGGAAACTCAAGGAGCGAGCTGGGAGTGGGAGCGGGAGGGTCAAAGGTCAAGCAGGAAGTACATGTAGACTAGCCAGGTATTCTGCAAGGAAACAAGCTGCACCATCCCACCGTTAGCCACGTCGACGCCTATCTGCAAACCACAGTCCAACTTCACCGAAGCTTAAAGGAGCAAATCATCAGGAGTGAGGCTGAAGTAAGCAAAGGTAATACAGTCGTAGAGCCACAGTCTGAGAGGGAGTCAGTGAAACTACATCTGACTGTGAAGCTTGTTTTTAATCAGACAACTGATCACAGAATTATGTGATAATACGCATGCCTCCGCCAACCAGGGCAGTTTCAGTCTAATTCCATTTATTCTCCAGACTCATGAGGTCACGTCACTTGAATCTAATAAATAAATCTTTGAGTTCAGGTGACAACTGGTCAAAACAACACATCGTGTTCAGTGACCTTTGACCAGCAACTGAACATTTGCAGCACATTTGAAGAAATTCCCTCAATGCATTCTTGAGATATCATGTTTACAACTACAGGGCTGTCAGACAACAGCATGATCACACTGGGTGTCACCAGGAAGGAGCCACGACATCAACTCGTCTGACTCAGTACAACGTAGTGATGATCTTAAAGGTCGCAGCATTCACCTGTATAACCGAGAGATTTTAAAAAGAGGCTTGTTGAATACTTCAGTAAGAAGATAATTATCACTGACAGATACCATCTGGATTAATAATCTATCACTTCTTGGTGATAACAGGTCAAACTGTGATTTCATTCTTTTGATTTGATTTAAAAACACACACACACATCTCTGTGGTCGGACCTCCAGATTGTGGCTTTACAACAAGAGTCTGTCATTGAGCTGCATGGTTGGGAGGGGTGGGGGTTGGGGTGTTTAAGGAAGCAGTACAGGGAGGGGGTGGGGTGCTTTGGAGACAGGCTGGGCTGGTGACGTGTCAGAGTAGCAGGGCAGCAGGACTAGCAGAGCTCCCAGAGGCAGCAGCAGGGGCGGTGGCGTGCTTACCTGTGGCCAGGCCCCCCTCTGCCCTGCCCTTCATCCCTATTCCTCCTCCAACTCCAACTCCCGGGCCAGAGCTGCCCAAGGCTTCCACGGGGAAGGAGGGCCGGTCACCCCTGTAGGGCTTGGGCCTGAAGGTGAAGTCTTTGTCTTTACCTTTGGAGCCTTTGGGCCGACCTGCTGTCTTCTTCTTGGACTTGCCATCCCCTTTCACGCCCAGTAGGGGGTGCACCTCTGAGGAGAGAGAGCACAGAGTAATGGTCATCGTTGGCCCTGTTACCATTCACTGATCATTTCTATCGCATTTTGATTGCAGGCTTATACTTGCATAGACTGAACACAAAGTATAGCTGAGGGCGATGGTACAGTGCTCTCAGAATTCTGGATCATAAACCAGGATTTGTGAATATTAGAAAGAATAGAGGCCTGGTACAGATATTCTTGGTCATTCATATTGACACATGAATGTCTGCACTAATAAATATGTGTTCATCCATTAAGATTAAGATTTTGAGCGATGTTTCTGAGTAAGTGAAAGAGGAGAAGTTCTCTGTATTTTTGGCCTTCTCTCTCACCATCACTTGGCACCCCCTGCAGTTCGATGGTGGTAGTGCGGGCTTTCTTTTTGGCTGGGCCTCCTTCTGATGAAGGCTGCCGCTGCTTCTTGTCCCCGCCAGCCAATGCTTCCTCTGGGGCAGAAGACTGGACCGAGGAGTCCGGTGGGGGGCCGAAGGGGTTTTCTTCTGGATCCTCCACTTCGGGGGCGATGGGCAGGTACAGCAGGGCCTTATAGTCCTCCAGCTCCTCGTCACTGCAGGACACAAACACACATCACTCTCAGCAGCTGAATGACACCGAATTAAACAAGAGTCTGAATCATTAACAGAATCCACCAGTGACTGGGTTTTTTACCAAGCTGTCAAACTGCAGTATAGATCTGATGTTGTTGGATTTTATAACAGCACTGGATGCATCAACAACTGAACCTGCATCAGCCTGTTGTCATGATACTTGTGATACTTCTCAGATCAGAGAGGAACTCTGCTGTAGTATTTGTTTGTAGTAGGTTGTTGTCAACCTTCTCTCTCACCTGCTGCAAAAAGCAACAATGGGGTCAACGGTGGTGACATCCACCTCTTCATCCTCCGCAGCGTCTGCACCTGCAACATTGGAACGAGTTTATAGTGAAACCAGAGCATCTGATAACAGAGCAGGTGGTTAACGTAGCGACAGTCAGCAGATTGTCTCTTTGGATTAATTCAATGTATATGAAAACACAGCACGCTGTGTGTGTGTGTGTG